TTAGCAAGAGCTTTATAGGAAGGCGCTTTCATGCAGCATATGGAATTATTGTACCCAAGTGGGAGAAAAAATGACTCTCAGAACAAGGCATGTGATTTATTTTTTAAGTACAAGTTTATACAAATTGTTGAAAAGGTTGTACAGTTTTTCCTGAATTGAGACAGACTGACCGAATTGGCTAAATTTAATTCCAATTATTCGTATTGGAACTTTGCAACCGCTGAAGAGATTTTTTGCCGAGCTTCTCCTCCATCTTATAGTTTTCGTCAAATAGAGGGGTCTACAGTTTATACTAAGTCGCCTCCGAACGGCTGATGGTCTTTATGAGCAGCTTTATTTGATGACATTCCCTTCCTAGGGGCGACCGCAATGAGAAAATTTAGATTAATTTTTTATTTAAATTAATTTTCTATAACTTTTTGGACCAGAGGCTTCTGAATGGCAGTGCACAATGCTAGCCACTCGGTTACCGCGGCCGTTATTTTTATTCGTATTAAATTGAAAGTTTTCACGTAAAAAAAAATTAACTTTGTAGTAAACCAGAGATCGACTCATACAAGAAAATCTTAATTATGATTAGGCTCACTTGAAGTTATTCAGATCAACATGCAGAAACTGGTTCTAAAAAATGCTATTTATGGTTCAATTTGCTTGATATTCTTTTCCTTTCCATTCGGAGAAATCATATTCATGGTTTGGTTTGTTTGAGGTTTTTTCTTTGCAACGGCTTAGGTGTTTACTTGACTAATGCGTTCTATTGGAAGACAAAGCCCGCAGAGGAAAACCAAAGGGATGCGTCCAAAAATAATCGGCTCGTACCATTTCGCTTTCTACTTATTTCGGGTCAAATTAAATAATTCACATTAAGTTTTAAATTATCTATATTTTATTTCACTCTGAATTTACCAAAAATATTGGAAGCTCACCGGTTCCGTTAGTATAAAATATAGATACATATGTAATAAAACACAGTTATTTCAGAATTAAATAAAAATTAATGGAATTCTGGTGAAAGAGATTTTCAACTGAGCTAGACTTTATGTAAAGTTACCGCTAGGCTCAATTTTATTAAAAGGTTTTTAAGTAAAAATCGCTACTTTATTTTATATTCGAATTTCAAGGAGAGGCAGTCACAATGGAAATTACTTCGAATTTATCTACCTCAAAATGACGGTTTGTACGTGTAGAAACTAGTTGTATGCACTTGTTTACATATCTGTATACATTTGTACATACGTGTAAGTATGTACCTACATAGGCATATTTATTTACGTAAATTATTTAAGCAAGTAATGAATAGTAATTAAAATTAATCACCAACTAATAACTACAATAAATAAATATGCAATATCACGATTGTGTATGGATTGAAATAAATTACCGCAACTAACTGCAAGCCTACTTACACACATATATACATACATATGTACATATCGTATATGCAAGTATTTCAACATATAATTGTAAGTAAAGCGCAAACAATATATTGTATATATATATAGATATGTGTACATATGTATGCAGTTGTATGTATTAATGCCGCCATAATCTAATCATTTGTTTGAATATTGGCGCATTTAACTTTTTAAGTGAATTTTCTACAATAAATTTCATAAACGCTTAGCATTTCATTGCATATACTCTCGTTCATATGTACGTACGAGTATGTACAAAAGTGCGTGTACATATAAAGCAAACATTAGTTAATAAGCGTCGGCGACAAGTTGCTACTGTGGAAATTTAATCTCAAGTGTTTCGGCTAGCAATTGTTCAATAAATAATAATTCAATTTAAAATAATCGTAATTTATGTGCAATACATACATACATACTTATATATGTATGGAAACTGATATAGTACATGCACATATGTATGTATGTATGTACATAAAAGATTTGATATTTAACTACAACTTAAATCTAATCCTCTCAAAAGGACAACATTATTATATATTATATATTATATATTATATATTATAGAAAAACAATTTTATTTGATTAAAAATTACTATTTTCATTGGTACAATTTTAGTTTAAATGAAAAATATTTTTACGACTTCGGCGTTTCCTTGAAAAATATGGTGGTGAATAATAGTCCTCAACTTCTTTTCTACATTCTATTCTTTCCAGCACCGTCTAGAATGCGCTATGCAGAAATTCCGTTTGAGGATTTTAATACATTTGATTAAACAACTAAAACCGAGAAATAAGCTAATCCAAGTCACCGAAAGGATCTAACGGAAGATCCAGGAAACGAACTGTTTCGACGGGCTCGGACCAGTGGAAAAGGGAGGTGGAATGAGTAGGTTTTACTGGGCATGCACGTATGATATGTTGGAGTTAAGTCGGGATAATTAGGAATTTAGTCAACTACAATATCCACATATTGATTTTGGCTGTATACTCACGAAACCCGGTGGGAGCTCGAGCTCTTCTTTTGCTATGTATAGTGACTTGATTCCAAAACTGACTGAAACAGAGTTCAAGAAGGTGTTGATGGATATTCACGTGCATGAAAGATATACATATATACACTAAGGGAGATTAAGTTTGAAGGGGATCCAACATTAAATACTCACCATACACCATACACCAATTTGATTTGCTCAGTAGGTTAAGGCAGACAAAACCAGACAAAGCCAACAAGGTCATATAATGGGAGGTCCAGGAAACCGTATGTTTCGTGAAGTTGGTACCAAAGGGAAAGAAAGTTTTAGGGGGCATGCAAAGAAATGGTTAGTGTCGAGCGGAGACTCATTACATGCATGACGTTTGTACGTTAGGTTTGCATTCCGGGAAGAAAGTTTACGACGATGTTGACGGTCTCTTGGTGTTTGTCGTTTTGAAGCCTCTAGGAATTGAGAGCATCCAATGGAAGGACCAGGCAACGAGCTCTAACAATCATAAAGGGGGTTAGATGAGTAAGTCTTTCATGCCGTTCTATCAAGTGGTTCGGTTATGGAGTATTCAAAGTCGGGTACTTCCCTAATATGCCAGGTGGTGGTTCAGTTTCCAACAAGTGTAGGCTTTCTTCAACAGCGTCTCGCTTATTCCCGGTGTCTAGATCGTTGCAGTGCAAATTAACGGTCGGCCTGCTTGCTGCCTTCTAAGTTGCGAACATTTCTTTACATTTCCTGCATTTTCTGATGACTAGCGACTTGAGGATTGTTTTTGAAGCTCTCTACCTTGGTAGCAATTACAGTCGTTAACGGAGTGAAGAAGCGCAGGCTTTCGAATATGGCACCCAGTAACTTGGCTTTACTTATTGCCGTCCAGCTGGTAAAAAGATATTCGAGGATTTAACCGTCTATTGTTTTAGTTTTCGTGCAGTGAAGAAAACAAATAACTGTTGTTGTTGTTGTTGTTATGGCGGTTCGCTAGCCCCACTTAGGAGCAAGCAAGATCAGTCTCAGTAATCGAGATGATATAACGGGGCGTCCACGAAACGCGGTTGACCCAGATTTTATGTGGCCAATTGCTGCCATGCTTTTGGCGACTTAACCCCGTTTAGGTTTAGGACACAAAACTAGTTCGGTATCACTTCAAAAGTGATGCAGGGAACGGTTGGATCCCTTGACAGCTGTTCAGGACCCCTTCAAAACAATGGATTCACCATCAATGCTATTGAGGAAATTATTCCATACTAATAAATTTTGGTGGAAGTGGGCTAAAAGTATCTTAATATCTCATGTTGATATGGTAGGCATTTTGAACTATATATTTGCCATAAAAAAAATAAATATACATGCATATTAGTATTTTAAAAGAATTTAAATCGTCAAACAAACTACAAAATTCCACTGGCCGCCATAAATGGTTGCTCATAAAAATTTATTTAATAAATTTTTTCATGTCAAAGCTATTTAAATTAGACCTGTCCCATAAATGACACCCGCAGCCCACACAAATCGATATTTATAAAGCTATTTACATACGCACATACCTACATGAGTATGCATGTAGCTAATAATTGATTTAAACAATTCAAAACACAGCTAAATTTTATGTCATAAACATGTCAATTATATATACTTATATCAGTATATTTATTTGTTTATTATACAAACATATGTAAATTAAAGCAACTTGAATCCAAACCACCAACAACAAACCAGCCAACTACCGAACGCGCGAGCTGACCAAAACTAAAATCTACATACATACATATCTTAAATATAAGAGATATGTAAAGATATATTCAATATTAGCTTAAATAGTAAGTAACAAGCTGACAATGAGATCATAGCTTAACTGGGCTTTTATTGCTATTTTGCCACATACTGCCGATGTATGTTTGTCTTTAAAGTAGTGCTGCTATTATGAATTATTCAAGCCACTGGAGGGCGCACCCAAAAAACAGCAGCCCGACTCCGGTGTCTACGTGTGGTAGGTAGCAACAACAACAGTGAAGTACGAATATTGAAAACAAAAATCATAAATCTATTTCAATTATAATGAAAAAAATATTTAAAACACTTTTTTTTTTTAATTTTTCAAAAACATTCATTTATTTTTATTTGTTTACATAGATATTTTTTTCAGTACATACATACATACATACATACACTCAACTACAACTACAACTAAAACAGTCTATGAGGCCGTGAACGTGGCGTTTTTTCTAATTTCTATACAACCTACAACTATAAGGTACAGCAAAGTGGCTAAACAACAAAAAATTTAACTAGACTTTTATTTTCTTATGTTAAAAAATAAAAATATTTTCTAGAAATTAAATATAATAACAAATAAAAACTCGTAGCCATCATTGGTCTAAGTAGATACAAATGTACAAGGAATATATACATATACATGTATGTATATTTATTTATAACTGAATGTGCATTTGATAATTTATTTTGTGTTTATCTCCTTCGCTATCGACGAACGACGCTCCAACTTGAACGCCGATGAAGATCATAAATAAGGTGAAACGCTTCCCATAAATACTTTTGCTTTGGCATTTTGTTTTGTATATTTGTAATTTGTGTATTTTTACAATTTGTTTGTATTGAATTTATTTTATCCTATATGTACACGTATGTGTGATGTACATATGTATTAAACATACGAGCTTCAGTTTTTCGAATTCTTGCTTAAATACAAATAATTTGCTTAAGATTAAGATTTAGCTAAAGTACCTATGTAATAAATAATTTAATTTCTTTAATCAAAGTCTGTATGTGCGTGTTGCACTTGTATTTACTTGTGTAGTGTCTATCCTTTCGTGAGGCGACAACAACAACAGCCTCTTCGATGAAGTCATAACTGGGAACTTTCAGACCTAATTCCTAATATCACTTTGCCTCCACTTGCCTGTGGCAGTACTATTTGAGCTCAACAGCGCAGCCGCCGTCGCTCAACCAACTAGCCGATGGTCAAGCGCATAAAATTAATTTCACTGCCCTGTAGTCCAACCGACAGAGCAATTCCAAAAAGCAGTCTTTTTCGCGTACCTTTCACAGTCGCGCCTGCCATGTTGTTTAAACCAATTTGTATTTTTTCAAACGATATCACCGTCTACCTGCTCATGATCTCAGCTATACTGAAACCAAGCGAACGCTTTGGACGTTCAGCGCAGCTTGCAGTCGCTTGCCCGCCTGATGCGGCGGAGAGGTCAAGTATGGGTGTGTTGTGCGACGTGCTGGTGGCACAACGATTTGAAGTAGCAAACTCTTTGGATTCGATGGTGGCATCATTTTGTTGCTGGTGCTGTTGCTGATGATTATTGTTGTTGTTCTCAGCTGCAGCCGCCTCCGCGTTGGTATGACTTAGCAAATGGCTACGTAAATTTGCGCGCTGATTGAATGTACGCTGACATACGTTACACTTATGTGGCGGCTCTTCCAAATGGGTTACCTTATGCACGGCCAATGTACGCGATTGGCAGAAGCCTTTACCGCAATCGTTGCATTTGAACGGCTTATCCTTGGAGTGTATGTAACGATGATCACGTAAATGATCCTGCCGCCGAAAGGCCTTACCGCAAATGTCGCACGAATACGGCCGCTCATCGGTGTGTGTACGTTCGTGGATGAGCAGGTTGTACGATTTGGTGAAGTGGCGATTACAGTATTTGCAAATGAATTGTTTCTTTGGTCTACTACCTGCGCCGCTTGTAGGAGCGCCGGGCAATTTCATGGCCGCTGGCAAACCAAAGCGTGCGGCGGGATGAAGCGAATGCAGACTTGGTATAAAACGCAAGCCCGGCGGCGTACTGTGCGAGTGCGGATGTGCTACATGAGGATTTTGCTGCTGCTGTTGATACAACGCTGCGCTGCGCAGCCATTGGTTCATAAGCACAGCTTGTTGCTGTACCGCCGCTTCGACTGGTGTTGCGGGCAGATACGGAGCATTCGGTGGGTAAGGGTAAACATTTAATGGTTGTTGTTGGTGCTGGTGCTGTTGCTGTTGTTGCATGTGTAACCACAAACGTTGCTGCTGCTGTGCTGCAATTTGCTGATGTTGTTGTTGCTGTTGCAAATGTTGTGCCTCAAACAATGCGGTTGACAGATATGGCCGGCGTTGTTGCTGAGGTGGCGGTGGCGGAGGTGTATAAAATACCTGCCCTTGCTCTTGTTGGTGTATTTGCAATTTATGTTGTTGTTGCAACTGTTGCTGTTGTAGCAGTTGCTTCTCCATCAGATATGGTGTGCAGGAACTAGAGTTCATTTGTACGGGCTTTTGGGGATGCTCTACATACATTTGCTCATCCGTTGGTGTGCGCGGGGGCGTTAGTGTGGGCGAAATACTGCTCTCACGCTCAGCTTTTATGTCCAAGTAGCCTGGCGTAGAATCTGTTTAAGAACACGAGAAGAAAATGACAATAAGTTGGCGTACAAAATAACGAAAATATTTACGTATTCACCGAAATTTAAAGGTACGATCGTTGAAGTGTAGGAGGGACAACAGTATTTTAAAACAATTACATTTTTGAAAATCTTAAAGCTCAAATGTTTGTACTTATCGACATGAATAATCCTAAATAATTTAGAAAAACAACAATAATTTGGAAAGCACACGTATATATTTAATGCCCCTGGGAACTTTATGAATAAAAAAAAAAATTATTATACGGACACCTCACACCGCCATGTTAAATTCTAGAAATATCCCAAGTTCGGCGAATGTGATGTAATATCACTGAGGTGCCCACTTGCCTACTACGGAATAATTCTCTTCACTTCTAGCAATTACTTTTGGCTGGCGACACTTTTATAACTTTTTATACGCTTTCAAATAGTGCTTCTCTGCCGTCGGCTGAACACTTCGAACCGTCCTTCATTTCCCCGTCGCTTTTAGCACACTTACCGTTAACATTTATGTTTATCTCATCATCCACCGTTAGGTTACTGAGGGGCGATGCCGATCTTGATGACATATTTAATGCTTTCAACACTTCCTTTTGCTTAAACTGGAATAGTACCGCAATTTGCTTAATTTTACTTTTTTTCTATTTTCACACACGTTTTCTTCTTCACTTTTCAAAAGATCAAACTCTACATAAAAATATATTTTCAATGCTCTTTGGACAATGTCTCGTCTCAAACTGATTTCAGGTTTCTCGTTTAGCAAACAACTCAATTTCCAAGAGGGGATTCCACTCAAAGTCAATACATACACAAATCCAATTGTGCGCTTGTATTGAAACTCAGTTCCTGTGCTCGCGCTCTCTCGCTGACTTATTGCTATAACCCTGGCCGGCGAATTCTCTAGCGTTCGTGTGTTTGTATTTCGTTTGCTTGCTGATGTACTCCGGTGAGCGTGGAGTTCGGTTTGCGTGCTGGTTTCTAGTTGACTTCTGGTTTTTCGACTTCTGTAGCTTCAGCTCGGCACTCAGTCTCTGGTTGTTTTCTTTGGTTTCTCGTTTGGCTGCGAATGTTACTGTTACTCTTGTGTAGTGAGTAGCTCAATTTCGACTGTAGCTACTTTTGCTGCTGCACCGGTTTTTGTACTCTTCCCCGGCAAGGCAGATAAAAATGGCAGTTTTGTATCCGCCTACCTAAGTGATTGGTTGGCTATTGCTTTGCATTGTTAAATTTATTTTGTTGTTGCTCTTTATCCGCACAATCCTGAGATGCCTGCAGCAGAAGCCTCTGTACCCTCTGCTGTTACTGTGACTAATACAACTGTACCTTCATATATATGTATTTCTGTATGTACCTATGTATGTACCTATGTAGAACTGAAACCTTGCTCTTTACGTACTTTTGTTATCGTATTGCCTTTGTTTTTGTGTTATTCTACACATTTATACCTACAAACGCATACACACATGTAGATATGTACATCTATACATACATATCTGTCAGCCACCACAGCAGCTAGCGAGCGGAAACTGTATGCTGACGGTCGGCTTCTGTCGTTTCGTTCATGCCACCATAGCAGTACGGAAAGGGCGACGTAAAGCTAACCGTTTACGTGTTCGTGGTTGGGTGGTGGTTGTTGGTTGTAGGCTTTGTTTACTGAAGGTTGTGGTGATGACAATGGTGGGCACCAGTAGAGAGTATGAGCCAATGTGCAAAAGATATGTACATACATACATATACACATATGTATACAGGTAGACAAGTATGTGTAGTTGGAAAAGCAGCGCATCAGCGCGATTATTGGTCCCATCTTGCTCAGCGGTACTCGTGCCTGTTTCTGGACTGGTTGGTACTTTTTTTCCTGGTCACAGTCTTTATTTCATGCAATGGTAGTGGTAAGGTTTTGTGTCACAATCACAAAGGTGTAGAAATGTAGGCATGTAGGGTCATATGCGGGTACATAGTGTTTTTTTCGCCAAGCAGTACAATATAACGAGGTTTTAATAACTTTGTTCACACAAAGGTTGTATGAAATCAGATTATGTCCACATGTACTATTCCATATATGTATGTATGTAGGTGATGAGTAGAGTTTGTTCCGGACTTCGTTCGTCTGGAGTTTCGAGATAGTTGTAATAAAATTTTTATTAGATTTTTAGGTCCATATATTTGCCAATGCTGAGAGCCAACCTAATGCAAGACGGCGCATATGTAGGACGCGTTGTCATGCAGAAACAGATTACGGCCATGTTTCTCCAATAAATTTCAAAAAATCGAAATTTTTTATATATTTGTGTAAATTGCTAGAAAATACTCTAAGATATATTAAAGAATTTTGTCCCGAAGGTCCGCAAGACTAAGAAGTAAGTATAGAAGAGGGGAGAACTCAGCGCGCCTAACGGTAAATGCAGCCGAACAAATACTTTAATCGCCTTTATCTCGAAACCATGTTTTTTCAATTACAACCAAAAATCAATACTTTGGCTTAGTAATCAAAGCCAATGTGATACAGAATAAGAAACCGTTTTGATTTTTGCTAACAGATGATGCGTTTTACAGTTATCATGTCACTCACCAACAAAAGGGGCGTGTTTCAGCAGCAATTGTAAGAGCCGCCATTTGACTACTTATGTATCTACAAAAACTTTGATTTATAAATATTTTTTTCTTAAAGAATTAAAATTTGTTTGAAAAAAGACGTTTTTTGGAGGAGCTTGGCCTTAAATGTCTACTAAAGATGAAACCTCATATTTATGCTATATATATGTATGTATGTGCCTCACAGAACATGTTACGATCTTAATGAGAAAAGGGTGGCCTTTACAAGCCTTTCATCCTACGAATGTCGAATAGCTTTTTTCTCGGAGTGAATTCTCCTTACAAACGTTCGTTTCGGACATTTTGGCTCTGCCTTACTTCCTTTCTTTTAGTATAATTTTTCGCTTCATTTGTGTGTGTGCGTGTCATGTGGCATTTAAATACCCTTTCACAAGAACTCATTTTTCGGGGGATAAACTACAAAGACTTTAAATTAAATTTACTTAGTAAAATCAGATTTCAATACGTTTAATTTAAATTATATTTTGATGTGCACATGTTCATTGTCATATGAAGGAACAGCGACATCCTCAAATTTAAAAATTTAAATAAAATATGAAGAAAATACAACAAGGTAATATTTAAGGTAAATCGAGGTTTTACATCGTATTTTACAAATCTCAATTAGGGATAAGTTAAGCTGCCAAGCCATTGGCATCTTCCTAGTCAAAATCTGAACGGGTGTGCCGGACCAGTGTTGATCCTTCAATAAACTATGGATAAAGACCTAAAACGACTACTACGATTTTCAAAGAGAATATAAATGTTCTTTACGTTAGAGTCACAACAGGACTGTAGTAGTACAGAGCTTTGGTCTTATGTTGACCAATTCAACCTGACCTAAGCTATATTCTTTGTATATGAGAGTCCACTTAAACCAGATCAGATCCTGTTATTAGTCCCGAAGCAAAATCAATCCAATTTCGAAATTAAAGCAGTTCTAGTGGCAATAATTGAGTTTGACCAGTTGATGCATAATGCATGTGGACTCATATATGTATGTATGTACTTGTTCAAGCTATTGCTATGCTTTGAGGTACTCTAAAGTTAGGTAGGTATTTTAATTCATTGTAATTAAATCAAAATTTCTTATGATTTTGAAAAATTAAAGCTCAACTTGTTTTGCTTAAAGAAATATACTTTATATAATATATATAATAGGTATACATCACAATAAAAATATCTATGCAAATATATTTCCTGACGGTGGACAAAGTACATATATTTAAAGCAAGAATATTTTTTTATGGGTTTTGAAATCCCATGAGACTGTTTAATAAGGATCAAAGAAGTGTCGAAAACGAAAAATAATTTTAGCCTTCAACAAATATATAAATTTTATTTTAATCAATTTTCATTTATTTTACTTTATTTTATTATTTTACACTTTAGTTTTTATTTTCCCATATTTTAATGGTATTTTATATCTTAATTCTATTTTATTTTTTTATACATTTTGTTTCACGCCATTTTATATTTCTACTATTTTATTTCCTTCAATTTATTTTCACTTTATTTTACGTTATTTTATTTTGTTTTTTTTTTTTTTTTAATTTATTTTATTTTAGTTGATTTTGTTTTTTTAATTTAATTTATTTTTATTTTATTTTTTACCTTAATTTAACTTACTTTATGTTATTTTATTTTATATTTTTATTTTCATTTCATTGTATTACATTGTATTGTATTTTACTTTGTTTTATATTATTTTATTTCACTTTTTTCATTTTATTAATTCATTTAATTTTTTACCTTGTTTTAAGCTCTTTTAATTTAATTTATTTATTTTTTTAATTATACTTTATATTAATTTAATATTTCTTACCTTATCTTATTTCTTATGCTACTTTATATTATTTTACATTATTTTATTTTATTAAAATGTATTTATTTCATTTAATTTAATCCGATGTTATTTCATTCTTTTTTATATTTTTTATTTTATTTTATTTTATTTTATTTTATTTTATTTTATTTTATTTTATTTTATTTTATTTTATTTTATTTTATTTTATTTTATTTCATTGTATTACATTGTATTGTATTTTGTTTTGTTTTATATTATTTTATTTCACTTTTTTAATTTTTTTAATTCATTTTATTTTTTTTACCTTATTTTAAGCTCTTTTAGTTTAATTTATTTTATTTTTTATATTATATATACTTATTATTTTTTACCTTATCTTATTTTTTATGCAACTTTTTTTTATTTTACATTATTTTATTTTATTAAAATATATTTATTTCGTTTAATATATTTTATTTTGTTTTTTTTTTAATTTATTTCATTTTATTTTATTTTTCCTTATTAATTTTTATTTTACTTTAATTTTCATTATTTTATTTTAATTTATATTATTTAAATTTTTTTACATTTAATTTTTTTTATTTATTTTATTTTATTTTACTTTACTTTAATTTATTTTTTCAGGTTTTTTTATTCAATTCTACGTTATTTTATTTTATTTTTTTAATTTTTCATTTCGTTTTATATTATTCATTGTTTCCTTATATTTTAAGTTTCAATTTTAACTTTTTTCTATTTTCGTTTTAGCGAGAAAATTTGAAAGCAAAATTGTAGTGTTGCCTATTTAACTGTGATTGCAACAATTCATGGTAAACTTTTTATGTACTTATGTACATATTAACAATCAAAGGTATACATATATTATATGTACGTACATATGCATATGCAGACAAATAATTCATTGCCAGCCGTACGTCATTTTGTTCGATTGTAAATGCAAATTATTGTCGAGTAAATTGAGCAAAAATGGAAAATTGTTTTAAACTTTAAATGTAATTCCATTTTACAGAGTATTCTGTCCTCACACACATGTACATTTATCGATGTGAATAAATTGCATTGCATGTGTGTGTATGTAACCTTAATTTGCTTTTTCCGGCTGCAGGCGATTTTCGCGTTGCTGCCAAACGAAATTCAATAAGCCAAGTTTCATTGGTGACTTTTATTATTTATATGGGCTTGCCAGATTGCACTGATATGTATGTATGTATGTAAATTTATAATAGATGTATATATATGTATGTATATATGTACATAAAATGTTGTTCACTAATTGACTTTTGACCCTTGCAAAGTTGGTTAGCGCGCAAAAACAAAAACAAAAACAAAAAAGCAATAAAAAAATCATTGCTCACCCTCATGTGAGTGCGCAGTGCGGCTTTGTTGTCGTCTCATAAGCATTTTTTTTTGTGGGATCTGAAATGAAAGGCGTTTGTAAAAGCACATTGCCAAAGGGTTTTTATACATTGCATATGTATGAATGTATGCATATTTGTATGTATATTTGCATATATATTTGTATGAAAGCGCAGAGCATGAGTTAATGATTTGATTATCTCATAATGGAAAAGTTTAAAAGCGAAAGATAATTTCTTCATTATTGTCAAATTACGGGACTCATTTATTTGTATGTATTTACATAAACATATATATATGTACATACATATACATATGGGCTCTTAGGGACGACATATGTAAACATATTTTAATTTAGGAA